GATAATAGTGAATTCATTTCGGTTTAAGTTTATTATTTGAATGAAGATGTAGTTGTTATAAATTCACGCTGTCGGGGGGGGGGGGGGTAAACGCTACGATTGCAAATCGCAACTGTGATCGCTTTCTGCGCAATTATCTCATCGGAAGACATTCACCTCTCTCTCTCTCTCCCCCCCCCCGTCTCTCCCTGTCTCTCTCTCTCTCTCACCCTCTCTCACCCTGTCTCACCCTGTCTCACCCTGTCTCTTCCTGTCTCACCCTATCTCACCCTATCTCTTCCTGTCTCTCCCTGTCTCACCCTATCTCTTCCTGTCTCTTCCTCTCTCCCCCCCTCTCTCTCTCTCTCTCTCGGTCTTATTGTGTGTATATTATTAAAAATGTTTATCTTATTAAAAAATGTTTTTAATATTTCAACAATATCAATTGAATTACTGCGTACTGTTGCATACATGCAAATAATTTTGCTTGCGCATTTATAATTAAAGAAAATATAGTACGATTACTAAATTTGCCGTGCCACTACCTATAAACTGGTCCGAATGACGTGTCGTGACGTGTTCGTTTTAAACACCAACCTGTTTAAATTCTGGCGATAGATGACGAGATCCGCGAAGGCTGGCTCATGTCTGTTCGCAAGAAGCTTACTGCGAAGTACTACGGTTTTAAATCGTTTCGGGAAAGTCGTCATTCTGGCACTCCGCGCTTTGGCACTGTGCGCCTTGTCTGAAGAAATCTAGCCACTTTTATATAAACAAGCTTGCTTAAATCTTATTCACGGTTTGTCTTACGTAGCGTGCTTTAATCACGAAAAGTACCACGTCACCATTTCAATGAAGTGAGTCAGTGTTTCAATAAAATCAAAACAACTTTTTCACGAGAAAGAGAGAAAAGTGACCAGTTTTAGATTTTTATTTGATAAGTTGATAATTCCACGGTTGTTTAATATAACTAATCAATACAAAATAGCCAAAAAACAACGGAACTCTTAAAAAACCCGCCACAAAATGCAGTAGTTATATCTGTGCTTTAGGTTTCGGCACTCATATGGTTTCACAATGCGCTCATGTAACATAACAAGAAAATTCCGAGAAATTTTCAATATGTGCAAACAAGAATAGAATTCTAAACTATGACGTTGGTTATCTGTCCAAGAAATAAGGATTTCCGTAACCGTCATAAAGTGTAGAGATAACAATCTTCATAGCCAGTTTCGTGTTGCTTCATGAAAGCAATTTCCCAACTTCTTATCGCAAATATGCTGCTTCTTATTCAACAAAATATGTTATTTATAATATTTGTACTTGTCTCTAGATTGTTTTAATACATTGACAAATATAGTAGTCCAAATTTTAACTCATTACATTTTTAGTGTCAGAACGATCAGAACATTTTTCACTTAAAACGATTAAGTGATAATTACGGAATGCAACTGTTAAATAAAATTGTTGCTATATAACAAAGAGAAATAGCATTTTAGATAATTTTTAGACAATAATAATAGCATTGACGACTTGGAAAATGTTCCCGTGACACAAAAGTCACAACTTGGTTATAATCATCTGTAAAATTTGTTCCAAACACTTATTATTCGGTGTTGCATTTTTCTCTTTATCCTGCTTTGCCCCGTTCGCCCAGCATTAGACTCAACGCGGCACGGTATATTTTTGACTTGTGGTGGTCTAAAGCTATTTCAAGACGAAGCCGAATCAACCTTCTCCAATACGATTCTTCGCTCCCACTTTCTCCGCTGGCCTCTTTGTGGTCCCTGGTATCTTGCCTGGAAACACTTTTTCTCTCAAAGATATTGACGAGCCGTCAAACACATACGCACGCACACACATATGTATAAACATTACAATGTTAAAGAAAGAAATGACGGCGTTTGTGTGTGCAGATTATCTAAATGGCTCACGAACGGCCGAATAAATTCGCGTAAAGTTACTGGAAGGATGGTCAAAGAGAGATATAGCCGTGTCATTGTTCAGTGTGATTAAACTGACGCGGTTAAATGAGATAATAAATTTTGGACAGTTTCCCGCTTGCGTAACTGTAAATTGTCAGCAAAATTTATTCAACGTGGTCCGCGGCAAAACTTCTCAATGTTCATTGCGATCCTCCTTTGTTGTGTTAAAAGACAAGTTTAACCGAGTTTGCAGTTGAGTTTACAGTTCCCATTTACTCAATAATCAAATCTGATTTGATGCAAACTGCTGCAGAATTTCCATCCCGTAATAACAAATCCTTTAAGTTTAGTAATAAACTTTTTAGCTCTAATTAATTCTTTTCCTTTTACGTCATATTATTTACAAGTTACTTTTACAAATTTTTACATCGTTTCGCATTTGAAATCCGCACTTAACTTAATCACGCTGGTTATTACGTACGTGTACAAAATTGGTTTGTTCAAAATGAACAATAATTCCTTACGGGTCAGCGGAATAATCCATATGATGATTCAACACGCATAATCCAATCGTGGTGCGCCACATTCGAAATTAGGTAGTCCTAATTGCAAATACCATCCGTTGCGGATGGTCACCTCGGGAGTGAGCGAATGAGAGAGAGAGAGAGAGAGAGCGCAGCGAGAATTGCTTACTTCCTCATTAGTTTACCAGATCCGTGAATCGGCAGGCATATACGATTCTCTATTAATTGTAAGATACGCGTTATTATCAATCGGGTCCAATTAAAACGCTCGCGATGAACGAAAGTGGCGAACCGAATATCCATACGAGCCGAAGCGGTGTTGAATTTCCCATATGCCGATGATGATATTTCTGTCGCGCGCAAAAATAAAAGTTAACTTTTGATTAAAAACTTGGTAATATGAATTACAAGCGCCGCCGCGAAAAGTCGATCGACCGAATTAAACTTATCATTAGTTTCCCCGTTTTTCATAATTATTATTCGCGCGATATGGGCGTATTTACTTTCCCCGTTGAAAAAGCGACACCGCCACGTTTCAGCGAAGTCGATGGTATTGCTGTGTCAGAAATCTCATTTATCATTGCCATAGTCCAGCGCTTCGTGTCGAATAGCTCTCGCAAAATAACAGGTCTGTCAGTCAAAAGACACGCCTCGCTTATATCTGTAGGAAATACCATGTATCTTCCCCGAAGCGAGATCTCATTATGATTATGCTAAAACGCGAGGTGAAACGTTCGATTTATCGTCCATCAACGCAAAATGATTCCGTGAAAATTGCAAGTCACGGGATTACAGATCTACAAGATCTACGGGATATGTATAGGAAATTTATAAGAACTTTTAAATTTATATTCGTGAGTTTAAACTTTCATAAATGCACTAATTGTTCATAAATATCTAGCTTTCCAAATTTCTCGATATTTTCTTATTTTATATAATAATAGAGAATGACAATCATACAAGTTTAAATATCTCATTTCCTTAGAATTTTCAAATATTATCGAATGAGTCTTTTTAAGTAGATTAGCTACTTAATTTAACAACATATCTGAATATATTATAGGATGCGTCTCTTACCTGGCGAACATTTAATGGAGGGTTGGCGCACTCGATTGCAAGGTAAATGGATATACCTGATGTCGCAACGAATGCAGTTCCACGAGAGCTATTGATAACGTTGACACACAGCGAAGCACTATCATGCGCATTAGAAACATAAGTGGTATGTCATGTTGACATAGGCTGCGTAAACGGTCTTAAGTGCACGTACGCAAAGGCCAATATACAAAGATAGGAGTTAATGCATAAATAAACGTCAAGCCATACACACTCGTTCAGATTATTCAACGGTTGTTTATTTTATGTGATCTTTTGTCGTAATACATGCTGCGCGAATAGCAAGATGAGATAACGGGAACTAACAATATAGTATTAAACTAATTGTTTTAAAACACTTTACTATTTCAACTAAAACCTAAGTAAATTGTAAATGTTTAAAAAGTTAAAAATACTATTTAAAAACTATTTCTCTTTCTTTTCTTAAATAATAATTCGAGGGTAGGAGAAAGTGAGTACCTTTTTATCATTTCAGAAATTTAATTATTGGATTTGTCATCAATATTTTGGCTATTATATATTATTAAACTCCAACTTAATATTGAATAAAATAAGTTAATTATATAATGTATTGTTATACATACTTACTCTGTCTATACATACTTAAATGGTGATAACCAATATATTATAACCTATACAGGGTGTACTAAAACCACCGGATATCCTTTTAATCATAAATTCTTTAGAAACTTTCAAGACAAAAATTCTAATACAAAAATGTCGAGGCTATACTAGTTTTTAAATAATAAGCGATTAGATTTCACAAATGACAGGCCTGAGATTTCGCGCCTGAGGTACGGCGACACGACAAGTGATAAAGGTGTTCCTACGAATATCGCCCTTTTTAGCATAGCGACAACTTTCACAACAGACTTAACGATTCATTCTCGAATTGATTGTTCCTCTTGTTATCTTTAACCATTTCTTTTGTTAGCTTTGTGTAACGTCTTATTAATAAAAGGGAGGGGTTCACTATGATGAGCATCTTGATCAGACTGATATCCCTCGATTTAGTCGATCTCCGATATTCTGAGTGAACTTGGAATTTTCAGTTAGATTCAATCTAGTCTCCTGTCTCTCTTTATCCTCAAGTTTTTAAAATAACCGGATCGTCGTCTTCCCAAATATTTTCTGTCCCGTTAAACGGTGACTTTGGTTCTCGCTCGCTCGCGAAACACACAGGAACACTTTTATCACTCGTCATGTCGCCGTGCCTGAGCGCGCGAAATCTCAGACCTGTCATTTGTGAAATATAATCGCTTATTATTTAAAAACTATCATAGCCTCGACATTTTTTTATTAGAATTTTCCTCTTGAAATTTTCTAAGGAATCTGCGATTAAAAGGATATCCGGTGGTTTTAGTGCACCCTGTATAATCAACTAATGTGAATATTCTTAAAAGTCGCCAGCAGTAATTAACAACATCAGAGATTTTTTATTGACCGTATCTGGCAATTTTAATAATACAGAAAATTTATTGCAAAAAATATTGTCTGTATTATTAAAATTGCCAGATACGGTCAATAAAAATCTCTGATGTTGTTAATATAATAGCAGTATTGTAATAAACGTAACAATAATTAATATCTTGTGTATAAAAAGCAAACGTGGAGTATTTTGAAAGTAAATACGAAACAATAAATCAGAAATAAACATTTTGACGATAAAAACTATATCTTATTTGGATGAGGGATTTTGACGGGTGAAATAATATTCCGCTCATGTATTTTGCTCTTTTATTATTTCCAAATCTTGCTTAGAACCTGAAGAAATTCTTTCACAATCTAATAATTAATTAATGATAATTAAGTTTAACATTAACGCCTGACAACGACGAAGTAAAGATTATAGATATATATATATATATTTATATTTATATTTATATATAAGCTAATCCTTGCCCAGACACACGAATTGATATGCAATGTTTAATGTGTTACTTGTTTTCTTTCTTGTTTCATTCGTCCTATTTTACTTTTTCTTTACGGGCATATAAATAAATTCTTATTGCTTAATATTTTCTTGTTAATATATATATATATATAATATATATAGTATTATTACATATATGATGATATGTTTTTGTAGTCCCAATGATTAATATGCACGCGTTTGTGCAAATGTCTCCGGCGTGAGACATGTTATGGACGGATTGATCTAGATTACGTCACGGACGTTCCGAATTGTCGAAACGACCACCACCCCACTACATTCACTGATAATCCCCGGTGGCAGATAATGAGTACTTTTTATCCCTCCGCGTACTCTTTATTATATTCCGCTCGACCTTCGGAACGTCCGTCACGCATCCAGCAGTATTTGACGAGGCCTCAGATTGTCGTTTCAAACCTCGTCCGTGATGATGATAAAACATTTATATAGATGTACATATAATA